GAGTTAAGATGTTTTTATTCAGGCTAGGTATGAAGCTCAGTGATGGAGGTCCATCCTCAAAGTCACCCTCTTTAAAAAAAGAATAATTTTATCAAAGGCCAATTGGATTAAGCAATAAGAAATTTATCAGCTCACTTATATCTATAGTTAAGGCAAGTTTCAGGGACTCTGCTGACATCTTTTTGGCCTACATTAGATCACGTGCTTATTCCTCAATAATCACTGGAAAGTGGCTGGGGTTCAAATAAACTCTGGGCTACACAGACCTATAGCTAAAGATGGGAGTAGGATCAGCTTCTCTACAAACACTTAGCCTGCGCATTTGGATTGAAGGTAATTTTTACACTTGTCCCACTGTGAAGATTCAGTAATTAGTGAATTTGGCTACAGGGAACAGAACTTTTAATCCATATATATCAGTGATTTCCGACCTTGGATATACAGTGGAATCAGCTTGGGAATTTAATAACATTGATGTTTGGGTAGTAGAGATTCTAATTCAATTGGTCTGGGGTGAATTTGGCATTGGAGTTTTTAAAACTTCCTAGGTGTTTCCAATGTGAGGTCAAGGTTGAAAAGTATTCTTATAAATCATTACTATTCCAAGTGTGGCTCACAAGCCAGTTGCACTGTATCACTTGGGAGCTTGTAAGAAATACATAATCTCAGGCTGCACCCTGGACCTACTACATCTGAATGAATGTAGATGTTCATAATCTCTGCAGGCAATCCACCCATGCACTGAAGTATGAGAGGCACTGATGTAGACAACAATGCCCTAAGGCCTTGTGCCTGGCCCATATCTTTACCTTGGTTCTTAAGTTCAGTTTGCAATACCTTGTTTAGGGATTTTGTTGATGGGTAGTCCTTAGATATATGATTCACTATTTAGCTTTCCTCAGAGGTGGGCGATGCAAACCAGTGCATATTAATTATGTAGGATCCAAAATCACTTGAGAACTTTATTCTAAATTTACACCCTTGATCTCCACTGTAGAACAAGTGCAATAGAATCTGAGGGTGAATTGAAGCATCTATCTTGGGAAGGGGGTATACCTCCATGGTAGAGTACTTACCTAGCATGCATGAGGTCCTAGGTTTGGACACCAACATTGAAAAAAATCTAAACATGTATCTCATGAGTAAAAACCATTTTTTTTTCTGGTACAGATGGTTATTGCATTGTAAGCAAGAGTATGATACAGAATTGTGTTTCCCCAAAATGAAAATCAGAGGGAAAAGAAACTGGTTGGGAATTTAATGATGATATAACCAAGATTGTTCTAACTGAAGTCATTACCAGATGTTTGGTTTTTGGTCTGCCTGAAGACTTGGCCCCAGCAAAGAGGAGAGATCAAAAGACCATGCCCTGAAGCTGACTAGGGGAGAGGTCGTGAGGATGATGGATGGGAGCTGGTGCCATAGAGAGCTGCTGCCTCAGCCCATCCTGCAGCTTCCCAGAGTAATAAATCCTGGAGGGGACACCAATACATTCCTGATAGCAGAGAGAAGTCACTCTTTAATGTGGACCTGATAATGTCACTGAGCTCAGTCTTCTTAAATTTAAATGATTAGCAATGACCAGGCTTGCTTCTGTTTGATGCATCGCTTACCCTGGTAATCGGGAAATCTATTCCACTTGCCTACTTAGATTGATGATGTCACGTTACACTGGGGCTTGCCTTCTCCCCATAATGGGGGAAGAACATGTTAGAATGCACTGGCCTTAAGCATTCTGGCCTCAGCCTCCCTCATGAATTTGATTAATATCACAGGCTCCATGGGCATATCTCAGAATTGCTGAATCTGGCATGTCTGGGAAGGACTGTGTTTAGAGAGCATTGAGATGTTACTAATGGAGTCCGCCATTGGATGGTTCTATTCATTTCCTGACTTCTGGACTTAGAGGGACTATCCTTTTCCAAGAAAGAAAAATGTATGGTTTTTTGGTTGGACCCTATTGAGTAAGGAAAAAATAGATTCATTATAGGAGCACTGATCCACTCCATCTACCTGTTGTGCTAAATGAAAAAAATTCTCCAACTGGTAGGCATAAGACTCTTTATGGATGCCCAAGTATTGTCTGGTGAGGTTCAGAGCTGACTGTCACTCTAGGCTCCTCCAGTGTCCGTGCAGGTCCCTATTCCATCAGGAAGAATAAATGGCACTGGTGCTTCTTCTTCCTTCCCCCACCCTGTTGAGAGGTTTCATACATTAGTAATTTTTCTTGTCTTTAGTGATTCCAAGAAAAGTCTAAGAACTGAAAATTAGCTTTTCTTCAAGAAAATTCCGAGAAACCCATAGGGATTACTGGCAGAAAAAAATGGTCTTCAAGAAGTCAGGAAGACTAGAAGGTCAGGACCAGATACAATGGTCTCCAAGGCTGCAAACTATGGGGACTGCCATAATGCATGGGGGAAGAAAGTGGAAATCAGAATAAAACTCCAACTAATTAACAGAATTGGAAACTGCATATTATTTAGATGTCACCTGCCGGGCTCTGTGCTAGGTATTTGGGATGCAGAACTAAGTAAGCCTTGGTCCTTGGTCCAAGAACTCATACCCTCATAGGAGAAATCACTGTGCCATGGGGTTCTAATGTACAATGGCAAATGCCACTGCATAAGTGTGCTCAGGATATTGAGAGGAAAGGATCCTTCCTTTCTGCATTGAACTCTAGGATATGACCATTCTCTAAGCAGATTTATGGTCTGGGAATGAGAAGCCATTGAGTATCTACCTCATGGAATGATTCTGCAAATAAATACTATCCCATGAGTTTTGCTTTTAGAATAGCCCAATAGCCCGAGAAGTAAGTAGATGGGGATATTTCTCAATCCCAAATTGATGTATCATTCCAGCTTGGGTTAGATGGTATCTTGTTAGTTGTTTATATAATGCTGGAAACCCATCCACACTTTGGGGTTTGATTCTTTATGAATACATCAACAATTGGTTGCTATAGAGTTCTCTGATACTTTCACCTGTGCCCAGGGCACTTAGCCTGAAATCTCATCTATCTTCATTCTCTAAATCTGTATGTGCCTATGGATAATGATTTTTGTGTGAGGCAGTTTGCAGCCCTCTAAAGACATGGGCTAAGATTTTGTCTGTGCTCAGAAACAGGCTTCCTCTTATGCGACTTGCCTAACCACTCATCTCTCTTTGTACTTTTTAAAAAAAGTCATCTGTGTGCCAGGGTGGACATTGCCAAGTGCGGATGCCATTTTTTCCCATTGCTCTGCCCATGGTCTCTTCCTGGGATGGGGAGGAAGGCTTCACTTTGGAGGAGAAACTACTCAGCTCTTTGAGCAAAACAAAGCATCAATTTTGAGGTTTGGAGCAGTGAAATTCTCCAAACAAGGGCAACTCCGCTGAGATCTCTGCACTGTAGATTGAGGTGAACGGTGTGTCATGTAATAATGGAAACCACTGAAAAATACATGGAGGAGAGAAACATATATTCCCAGGCTGGAGGAAGATTGAAGGGTTAGAACCCAGGAAAAATATCATTTTAGAGGGGAAGAGTTTTCTTGGCTCTATGAATAAATCATTGACCAGACAGGCCCCCCTCTCTTTTCCTTTCTTTATTTTGAAGCCAGCAAATTGCCTCTGATTTGGAAAGGAAGTCAGAAGCACCCTCCCGGTACAGCCTGCCTTGTGCTGCAGACAAATGAGGCAGCCGTTTTAACTTTTCATGAAGATGTTTATTAGGCTCTTGCCTCGTTCTGATCTAATGTTTCTTTGTGTCAGTTCATTTTTTTTTTTAACCATGTAAAGCCTCGAACAAGTCAGATCTAGCCATTCTTACTTTGAACACTCTTTTTTTTTTTTTAAGTTTTATAGACTGACCCAGTCTTAACATAGGAGATAAGTGTCTTACAAATATTGTGCTTATTTTCTGGAAGCTACAGTCTGGACCCACTTGAAGACACAGATCCTCTGTGTTTACCAAGGCCCATGTAAATATTCCAGCAGCCAGAGACTGGTAGGCTTTACCACTCCCGCCAGGAGTAGCTCAGCAGGGTCCCCTCCCTTAGGAAATGTCACTGTCCTCAGGAGTGAAACTCTGTCTTTGGGGGATTATGTATATTGAGATATCGTTTTAGTCAACAAATGTTTATGATGCATTTTTAATGCTGTGTTAAAATTGTGTATCTCTCTTTGTCTTTATATATCTGGCTTATTTTTAAATATTTATGGGAATTACTGGTTACATGTTTTCTGAACCACTGAAACACAGCTCATCACATTCACTAACATATTTTCTATATTTCTCTTCCTAAGAGATACTTTAGTCATATATTCCTTTGCTTTGGGGCTTCCAAGAAAAAAAATAATCATTTTTGGATTCAAAAGCATAAGAAAACTTTCTTCCATCAATTTCTAGTGCTTCCTTCCTATTCTTTACCATATGGTGTGATGTCCAGGTGGTTTACTGTTCTAGAGCCCAGCTGGTGCCATCTTTGCCCTCACAGCCTTGGGGCCACTGAAGATAACACTCTATAACTAGGGAGGGCATATATAGTGTTTCATTATTATATTAATTTAGTGCAGGATGTGCAGCCCAACAATTAATCCTACATGATGATTTTTCATAAACCTATCACCAACAAAGCCACTGGGACTTATATAATTTGCATTTTTTCATTTTAAAAAGTCACATACTTCAGTGAACTTAGACTAAGTCACATCCACAATAAAATCCACTGGATCTAGGCTAATAAAACTTTGAGGATCATCCTGACTTTTGGCCAGCAAGGTAAGAAAGAAAACCCAGTTCTTTCTGATTATTATTTATAATACCAAGGAGCTGTTTATAATTAAATTTGGAAAAACTCCATTTGAGAGCCAAGAAGGAGCGTGCTGGCCCATGTGAATCAATAAATTGGGATTGAATGTTTTTTGTTTTTTTTTTTCCTGTCCTTTGAGAATCTGTAAGATGAAGGATTGAATGTGTGTCCCTACCAGGGTTGGTGGGTACGGGTGTGCAGATTTGCACTCTGCAACTTTAAGAGGTGAGATTTATGTAGTCTTGTTATAAATGGTGCACCCTGGAGCTATACAAGATACAGCACCCACAGTCATCCATTTGCATACATGTAACAGTATCATCTGATGTTGTAGTCAGTTGTTCCAAATCAAGAGGCTTTAGGCTATATCCATCCCATACATGTTTTGCTTAGGCCACAAAATGTCAAAGAAACAAAAATCATTTACCAATATGTTAAATGAGGAGATTTTTATTAGTGATCCCAATTTCCACCCTTACTGGTTACAACCAGTTCTGCAACACATCACCCTTCCAGTGCCTCAATCACTACCTGAGCCGAGGATCTGCCATTCTCCTCATTGTGCCCTGTGATCTCACTACCCACCTATTTGACTAACTTACGTTATTTTCCTGTTTCCTGTAGGTGTTTCAATCTGTTACCCCTTCATGGTATGCCCTAAAAGCATGTCCTCACCATTCCCTCCTTGGAACAAGTTATTCTCAAGACTCGGTGGTGACATTTGCCGTCTTTCTCTAGGCGGTCTTCTCTGTCCCGCAGAATTGTCGCTGGCCTCCACACAACCCTAATGGAAGTCACTGGCTCAGATCCATTGCTGATCAAACGTAAAAGCACAGCCTCAGCCTCCTCCAAGAAGCCTGTTGGACTCCCATCCACATCAGCTGCTACGTCTCAGCATTGACACTGGTCTGTAAACCAGTTTTCCCTGTAGCTCTTCTCTGTTTCAAAAGCTTTTATTATCCTCAGGTTCTAATCTGGGTAGGGTGAAGTTTTAGTCTCCAAAATGAGAGCAAGCCGGGAGCCCCCATACTGAGAGACTGCTGCTCTGAGGATTAAAACCAACGATGTAGTGCCTTCTGCTTTAATGAGTTTATCTTTGTTTCTCCTCTTCAGAAAACGAAATGCCCTTGCCCCACATTCCCCTCCGTGTTGGCTTTGCGGGGCTCCTCTCCTTGTGTTCTGGGCTCATTAAATTAAGTTTCTGTTGATAACCTTTGGCCAGACCCATCTTCAGGAAGACTCTAATGCATGTTAATAAGCCAGACATGAAAGGCAGCAAAGATCTCCAGGCCCGTGGTCCCTTTCATGCCTCAGCAGCTTCTATGGCAAAAGGATGACATGACTTTTATCAGGGCTTTGGCTACATTCATATCTCATGACATAGATTTTTTTTTTTAAAAAAAGCAGAAATTTCAAAGAGTCCTCTTTATCACAATATCTTTAGTCTTCCTCAATAGTTCATATGGATATTTCTTTAGAAGTTGTATAATCAAAGTCATAAAGTCATTTGTACATTTATATAATTTTTTTTTTATCTTCGGGAGCTCAGAGTTGGGAGAATTGCATCTTTAAAAGCAATTGCTGGTACAAAGACCAGCCACACATCAGCTCTGACCTTTCGTTCAACGGCTCCTTCTGTTGCAGAGCATGTTCACAAAGCTATTTAGATATGGAAGGGGAGAAAAGTCCATTGATTTCCCTAGTTAGGGAGGTGGTTGTTTCTGCAGAAAGACTTGGTGCAAGCAGGGTTTGGGGCTCTGCTTTTCTCAGACGAGGCTCTGATGGAAGTGCCAGGCTATTAGTCAGCGGGATGGCACCAACTGATGTCCAGCCCTTTGGGTTTTCTTTCTCCAACTGAGGAGCTTGCTAGGAACACAGTGCCCATAGGTGTATGAATATGTGAGAGCCAGAGTGGACAAGTCAAGAGCTCATAACATCTGGGGTTTGCTGGGAAATGAGACAGAACTTTTCATGGAAATTTCTGTATTGTTTTAGGATCCAGAGCTCTGACTTCCAGGTTCCCACCTATTAAAAATGCCACACCATTTCCTTTTCTGGTATTTAGAATACGTAATGCAGCAAGCTGATCACTGAATTCTTACAGCACATCTAGAACCATGACCTGCACTTTTATCTCTGTTACCTGATGTCAGGCTTTCCAGTGAAGTAGTTGTCTTCATCCATACCTTATATGAAGAGGAAACACACTCAGAAAGAACGGGAAGAATGGGTAAGAAGTGCATGCACGCTCAGTCAGCCGTGGAGCACAGACCTCAAACTTGTAATCAGGTCTCTGCTGAGTCAAGTGTTCTTTCCATCACATCATGTCCTGACCATTTGGAAGATAAGCAAGCATTCTTTCAGCAACAGGTGCATGTACTCGGGATTACTGGAATTTCTTATGAACAGCTCCTTTCAGCTCCATCCCTTGCCAGAAAATCCACCTGACAGGACAAATTTACTAGCCAGCAACCTAAGATGCATTTGTGAAGTGCCTAGAACAGTGCCTGGTTAACAGGGTGCACATGATGAGGCACTAATGTTATGACCAGCTTCCTGGGTTTATTGAAAGCAGGTCCACAAAATGCTCACAGTTCTTTTAGAAACTTCAAACCAATAACTTTAAAAGATATTGAGTGCTTCATGATTCTTCTTGCTCTTCTTCTTCTTTACTAGTTGTTGCCCATTTGTTAGATGAACCATACTTCCATTTACTGTATTCTAGACTCATCTCTACATTAAGAAACATATTATTTCATTTAATTCTCTTAAAACCTCTGAGGAAATCATTGTCACCTTTATTCCCACCTGGCAGAGAGACATGATGATTATCTAAAGTAAGCAGTGGTGCTGGGACCAAACCGAGGACTGTTCATTCTAGAGAACAGCCTTCCCAGGACCAGGATTTGCCCAGATTCTGCATTTGCTATAGAGTTCGGAGACTTTCGGCCACATTGGACATTGAACTTGGGTCATAGGTTAGTGATTCCCCATTTTTTTCTGCATGTTAAAATCACCAAGATGGAAGAAGTTTTCCAAATCTCAATGCTCAAATCATAGCCCATACAGATTAAATGTCTGGGAGTGAGAGTCAGAAACTACTTTTAGAAGATCCCCAGTTGACTCCAATAAGCACAGCCTTTCAGAATTGCTGCCCCAGGATGTCAGGAGGCCCTGGTCTCTACGATCTCAAGTCAGTTTGGAACCTATCAGAGTACGTATCTTCCTAGGAGCCCATTGCTAGGGACAGAAAGAACCTGGATGAATGTGAGAATCATCCCTCCAATCAGAGTGCAGGTCCATGAATTCATCATCGGTTCCTAGGCACTTACCGTCTGCCATGTGCGTTAACACTCTGCTCGAGGTGATTCTGACTCTATCAGGCCCAGAGGTGTAAGCAGCAGCTGTGTGCCAAACAAAACTGCCCCAGAGTTTCCATGGCAAAGCGTGCCTTTGCAACCACGAGGGGCACACATATGAAGAGGCATGTGCCTTCACACTTTATTCACAGCCATCTGCCCTGCTCCCAGACACAAACTCCAAATTCTCCTTTCTTTTCCTGACTGTCACCATATGGCCCTTGTTAATGATTTATACATCACATCCTTCATTAACTGATGGGAAAGATACTCATGGTAATTTGCCTCCATCAGCTCTCATTCCTCATAGGCTCCCAAATAATTTCACAAAGTGTGGTCTTTTGGTTAAGTTGTTAATGAAGCGAACTCTAATTAACATTAGGGGTGTCCTTCATACACACTCCAAGAGAATGGCAAGATCTTAAAAGGTTCCATCATCATTAAATTAGTAAATTATTATCGCAGCAGCCTATGTGTGCTCTAACTTTTGATTTAAAAATTATCAGAGTGGGTTCAATGTGTTGTGTTTATCTTCCTCTAATCGAACACTACCTTGCATTTAATCACAGTAAATTGGTCTTCCCTCTAAATAGATCTAAGGGGTCTCAATACTTGTTAACTCTCAGCAGCTCTGAGAATGATGGGGAGGACAGAGCCTCTGAAGGAGGGTTGGGACTCAGCCTGGCACGGTCAGTCCCCAGTATTCTGAGCTCACTTCAGGTCTTGGAGTTGCAAGTCTTTTCAGGTTTCAGAAATGCAGCCAAAGGATCGAGTTATTGATTCTGGAATTGGGTATGTCCAGGAAATCCTGGAAAAAGGGTAGTAATGTCCTTAAAAACAGAGGAAGACTCCTTCCTTGGAAAACAGGGGTACATAAAGGTCCAGGGAGATGCCAGACTTCAGAGTCGCTTCTGTCAGGGTCTCCACAGGAAATGCCAGCTTGGAGGGCCTTCTGTCAATTAGGCAGTGACAGAGAGTAGACAGGTAAGAGCCAGGCTGAGGGTGGCCATACTGTTTCAGAGGGAGATGGTTGATTATCTCTGGAACAGAAAATGGGATCCAAATGGAGTTTTTCCGCTGGGAGGGGAGTTCAGAATGAAAATGTTAGTTTTCACCATGCCAAAGCAGATCTGACTTTGTTTTCATCTTTAATGCAGTCCCTGGTCGCCTTGGCTGAAGTCCACCTTTTCCCATTGGCTCACTTTGGCTGCCTATTACTGCCATTTCTGGTGGAGACTCTCCATTCCCTAGCCATTGCTTCTGGATGCCTCTCCTGCCACAGGCTTTTTTCAAATCAGCACCTATTTGCTCAAATCTGTAAAATTTCTCATGCGCTTTAAACTTCTTAAAGAAATGACTGCCTTTCCTTCGGATTGCGGGTATCAGCTAACAACAACAACAACAACAATAACAAAACAACAGCCGTCATTATTCTGTGTGTATATGTGCCAGGAATATGCTATAAACCTTATTTTTCATTTAGTGCTTTCTATAAACCTTTGAGTTAGAAATTACTAACACTGTAATTTAATAAAGATCACACAAAAGGACATTGGCACAACTGTGAACTCAGTCTCTCTGATACAAAATAATCTGACTTTAAGGACTATTTTAAACTCTACCGAAAGATACAACTCGTTCAGAACCTGTGCTTTCTCCTGATATTTCTTCTTTTTTTTTATGATTGTTATCTCTTCCATCAAATGTTTACAAGGGTACAAGACTATTTACTGGGGACATGCAAAAAAAATACATGGTACAATCATAATTGCAAAGCTTAATAGGTTGTGGCAGAGAGAGAGCACAAACATTATGTTGTTTTTATATTAAATAAAATAATGAAAGCTGTACACGTTGACCTCACATTTCTACTTTCATAATCTACCCTTAAAAAAACAATAATGAGAACTGAACCAGAATTTTATGTGCAAAGATCTTTATCAAAATATTTTTTATAATAAGAAAAACCGAGGGCAATCTAAATGTACTAGAATGGAAGAAAGGTTAAAATTTAAAATTCCTAAAATTTATAAAAATATGAGTCCCGTTAAGTGTTCATTTAAAAAATAATCCAGAGTCAATGTATTTGGAAATTACACTGGCAGTAGCCTCATTTTGAAGACTCAAAATCCAAATAGACACTCTTCTACAACTTACAGAATTCAGAAGGAAAGAAAAATAATCAATTTAGCTTAATTTACTTTAATAAATCTTTTATTAACATCTCATAGATATACACTTGGGAAATGTGAGGTTAAATGGAGACTTGAGTATTCATATATCAGAATATTATACAGCCATTAAAAATTATGTTTTCAAAAAATATTCAGTGATGTGGAATTGTGTTCATTTTTCTCTGCTAAGTGACAAAAATAGGGCACAAAACTATTGCAGTTTTGTATTAGTTTTATAGGGATAAACACTCATGTAGATGTGGATAAGGGAAAAGCGATTTTAATGTTTATTTCCATGGGGTGAATTTATGAGTAACTTTTAAATTTACTGCTTTTCTGTATTTTCTAATTTTTCTCCAATTAAATTGTTTTATAATGAAAAAAAATTCTTGCTTTTGAAAACAGAGGAGGAACAATTTGAAGGACACATGTCATAAAAAATTAAAGGAATTTAGAAGAGAAATAAGGACACACCAATCCGTTTTTTAAACTAATATTCTCTCACATTTTTGCATGGACTGTACCTTCAAGCTGAGCTAATTTAAGGTGCTACTTCTCATTTGCTGTATTTTCTCTTACTTTTTTACCTCTCTGCCCTTGCTCAAACTCTCCCCTTCTCCTGGTCTTTACTTCCTTGCTTGTTTGGTCTCATCCACACCCAAAGGCTCTTTAGAAAATGCCAATTCCTGCACTGCCTCCTCTGATTCCCTCACATCCCCCTCCTGTAACACTTTTGCTACTTTTATGTCATAAGTCTTTTGACTGCTGACTACAACATCCTGTCTCCTTACTCATTCCTAAAGCTCATGCCTTTCTTAAGGAGTCATATGCAAGAATGTTGTCACTGAAGTGAGCTTTGATGGAAAAGTGCGACTTCGGTGAGAGGTACAGTGTTCTAGAGAGGAGGAACAGCATGAGCAGTCCTTGAGGTAGGAGTCTGTGTATTTTATTTGGGGAGATGTAAGTATGAGCACTGGTATGGCTGCAGGTGTTGGTTGTGGAGTAGTGTGAGATAAAGTTGTAAACAATATGGAAGGGACAGATTTTTCAAGAAGGGTCTTAAACAGGTCACAGATAGTGACCCTTTTTTCCTAAACAAATGTTCTCATGCTTTATTTTATGCAAGAACTACCTGCAAAGGTGTTTCCTAGAGTAAAGAGCCCCAGACTTCTGCCCACCACCCCCAGAAATTTGGGTGTGGTCAGTGAGTCCAGTGAGGGTGACTGAAACCTGCACTGTTGATAAGGATTACAGGAGAATGTCCTGCCTGCCCTCCTGGAGGATGGCTTACAGCACATGGGGGGGTGGTGGGGGGGTGCAGATGTCACCTCAGAGGAATGGCAGATGAAATTCCAGCGTGTGAGAGAGGGGAAGGGCAGGCGGTGAGGGGCCTTTGATACAACACAGGCCAGCAGGAGTGAGGACTGTGGTTCAAAGACTTCCCTGTGCCTAATCACCTCCAAGCTGGAGGGCAGTCCCTATCAGTCACCCTGTAGACACAAGGAGGCAGAGCCCTCCCAGGTGTCCCTACTCTCTCCCTTGGGTAGCCACAGCTATCTTCCAGGGAGAAAAGGTTGGTCAGGTTGAATTTGGTTTTCTCCCCCAGTCTTGGCTTCGGGAGATTGGACTTCCTTGGGTGATTCTTGGGAAGAATTTGCCTCAGTTGCACTTGAAAAAAATACTCAGACAACCCTCTGGGGTAAATGTCCCCATTACACTTACTGCAGGATGCCTACCGTCTGTTTTTCTGAGACAGTTGTAGAAGACGTGATGGATTTGTTTGAGCGTTTACAATGTGCACAGGAGGGATAGAAACCTGGAATTGCAGGGGCTTCTCTTCCAGGAATTAAGTTCAGTATAAAGAGGAAATGGAAGTTCTCTGAGAAATGGCGCCAACAACAATTTTTTTTTTTTTTTTTTGGTCTCAGGTGAAAGTACGTAGGAGGGTAAATAGAAGAAAAAACAGGGAATCTGGTTGTATAGGTTGGAAAGAGAGACAAATTCAATGACTTATGTTCAAAAACCATCAAGAGCATCCTTGCTCCATGAATGGAATTTGGGGTTGCTATGGTTATTCAATAGTTATCTGCATTGAGTTTTGGTTATCTTTTGCAATCCTTACTAGAATTCCAGAGGAAGGTGATATTATTTCCACTATGCAGATAAGGAAATTGGTTCTGAGGGCTACGAGGGACTTCACCACATACAGTTAGGATTCCCTAAATGGAAATTTGGAATGAGGGTGGTGGTTAAAAAGGAGGAGGAGATTAAAGAACTCTTTAATTAGAACTCAATAATATGTGGAGATGCTCCCTTTTATTTGGAACCTCACAAGGAAGGTCATCAGGGTTGTCACTCTGCAAACCTGAGTGGGTGTAGACACTAAGTGGGGCAGGGAATCATAATTGGAGATGAATAAAATATTCTGATCTATGAGTTGAGATGCAGCAAGCTTCTATCAGATGAAGGTTCTTTGCCTTAAGCTTGCCTATATGTGTAAAGAACATGGCTGGGTTCTTGCTTGTAAACACAGGATTCCAGCCAAAGGAGACCATGCACACTAAAGAGAGGGGCCAAGAATTCCTGACTTACATTTCTTCCCCTTGCTTACTCAGAGAAGTCTCTTCTCATGGACAGGACATTTCCTTCTCCATAACTCCCATCTGGGAGCCCAATAGTTTTTATATCTGGCTTGATTGAGTCTGATTTTCACTCAACACCATCCAGGAGCTGGAAGAAAGTGACCTCATAATTGCAAAAGTGTGGTTTAAGGTAGCAAAACTACTCAGCCCTTTAAGAATGAGGTATGTTTTTAGCACCATCCCCATTTTCAGAGACCCTTGTCCACCTTCCAGACTCATATCTACCTTGTGTATAGCAGATGAGGGAGGAAGGCAGGCACCCTTCTCCTGAGTTAACCTGAGATCCAAGTGCATCCATCTCTCCATTGTGGCCTCTCAGGTTAAGGTCTTGCTTGAACTTAAACTCCTGCCTTACAATCTCATAGTTTTTCTGTGTCTTATCCATTAATTGAAAACCAGGTTTTGAAGCATCAAGCATAGTGTAAGACACCACACAAGGAGGAATGAAAAATAGTCCCTGTCTCCTGAAGGGCTCCAGCCCTAGCAGAGAAAATGTGTTAAATACTTGCCGTGCAATGCAATAAGCACCATAATATCATAATCTTCCATAGAGAGCAATTAGCCACCCATAAGGGAGCCTGGACTCAGGAGAGGGTGTCATTCAGCTGGATCTTGAATGACAGAGGATACCACTGCCAATAGGACACGAGAGAGATACCCTCTGCCGCAGGATGGTGCAGACAGAAGTGACGAGGCTTAAGGGAGCAGGACGTGTTTGAGAGAAGCAAGAAGTTAGATGCATCTGGCTTGTAAAAATATTTTCCATATGCAAGATGTTCAGTTTGTTATCTGGGATATACTAATCACTTAATGCCTTTTTAAAACTAATGATATGGGGGAGAACGAAAGGCAGATTGCCAAAGTTCCTGTAGATCGCATGGCTCGGCCTTTTCCTGTGTGTGTGAAGACATAGGAGGGTTACTGAATGTCTTTGCGTGAGGTTCCTGGTTGCATCTGGGTGATTTCATGATTGCGTTTGCTTTATTGAACACTTGGACAACAAAGTCAAGTATGGATTTTCAAGAGCAAGATTGGTACAGGAGGTCCAATTAAGAGACTATACCAATCCTTCAGAAAGGGATGATAAGGGCAGAGAAGCAGAGAGTGTAGAGCAAAGTGCATGAATTTCAGAAACTTTTAAGGAACTGAATTAATATAATCAGTGGCTGACTGGATAGAAGGTCAAGGGTGACTCTCAGACACTTTTAGGAGTTTGGGCTCCCAGATGGGAGTTACAAAGAAGGAAATGTTCTGTCCATGAGAAGAGACTTCCCTGAGTAAGCAAGGGGAAGAAATGTAAGTCAGGAATTCTTGGCCCCTCTCTTTAGTGTGCCTGGTCTCCTTTGGCTGGAATCCTGTGTTTACAAGCAAAAAATCTTTGACACTTTCCAAATCATGGGTTTTTAGCAAGACCACCCAGGGAAAAGCCTAGCATGCCATAAGATGCCACAGGGTTAACAGGACACAGAAGTCTCCAGGCAGCAGTGTGTTTATTGTTTAGCTTTGCTCTGGGCCTGATCTAAGGTGCCGCTACATATGACCTGTGCCCCTGCTCCACTCTGACATCACCTCCAGCCACCACCCACCTTTCCATGCAGGCCAAGCAGAGGGAGTGGGGGTTTCTCACCTGCAGGGGAAAAACAGAAAGAGTGATTTATAAATCAAGAGACAGTCTGGCCAGGGACACCTAAATTGCATTCCCTAGTGGAAACTGAAAAGCCACTGAAGAATGCAGATTAATTAACTGTGATGTTCAGATTGCAAACATAATGTTCTGAGCGAACACGATGGACTTTCCTGACCGCAAAGCTCCCCAGGGCTCTGGCAGGAGCTGAGAACTCATCTTTCTTGAGGTCGGCCGCACAGGGTCATGGGTTCAAAGCCCGCACACTGGCGCTTACCCACAGGAGCCAGGAAGACGACGGTGCACGGAAGGGACAGGGGGTAGATAATATTCATGCATAGTTTTTCCTTGAAGTCTGTTTAAGAGACAGGAACCAGAAGTCAAGAGTGGGAATCTCTTGGAGGTTTTTATGCCAGTGTGTGAATTATAAAAGGGCTTGGAGTTTGAAAAGAATTTAGAGAAAATTTAATCGGATGCCTCTATTCTACAGGGGACCTAAGGTATGAATTGTCAGAGCTAGAGGACAACCCTAGGCTTTCTGATTCCAGTGCCTTTGTGCTGTAAGTACCCTGCCTCCTGCCAGTCTCAGAAAGTGCAGCGAAGAGCACCAATCTGGTTGATTTCATCAGAATCATTGTCCAACCCAAATAACAGCCTTTGAATCCCTCAAAGAAAATCATTCTCCCTGAATAGCTGACTCTTGCTTCCCTGCCCTCTGAACCTGGTTTCCCTGCTGGGAATTGTTTAGATTATATTCATGAGAGGACCAAGTGCAATTATGGAA